GAGAGGCTGTCCTGTACTTTATAAGATGCTCAATAGTACCCCTGGCTTCTACCCACTAGATGCCAGTAGCACCCCTTCCAAGGAGATGTGACAGCCAAAAATGTCTCCAGACCTTGCCAAATGTTTCTGGGGGAGGGGGGCAAACTCACCTCTGGTTGAAAACCACTGTTCTAGGATAATGAAGAGCTAAGATACCCTGAAATTCAAAAAAGTTGCTAAGATCTATCTGCCAGTATAACCTGGGAATAGGGTCCGGGGGGCTGCTGGAAAGCCAGGATATGAGAGAGAGATGCCTTCAAGGGCCAAGAAGGTAATGCAACTGAGCAAAGGCAAGAATGTCTGGGTATAGGAGCGCCTGGGTGGCTCAGTCAGTTACGCATCTGTCTTCAGCTCATGTCACTGGGGTCCTGGATCAAGGCCTGCACTGGGCTCCTTGCTCAGCGGGGAACATGCTTCTCCCTCTGTCCACCACTCCCCCTGCTTGTGTACTCTCTCTCTGTGACAAATAAATAAATAAAATCTTTAAAAAAAAAATAATGTCTGGGTATAAAAGAAGAGGGAGTGGAGGGCTATAGTAGACTGAAGAGTGTGTGCTCCTTTGAAGGGACCAACCAGGAGCACCTGGGTGGCTCAGCTGGTTCAGCATCTGCCTTTGGCTCTGCTTGGGTCATGATCTTGGTGTTCTGGGATCAGGCCCAGTCAGGCTCCCTGCTTCTTCTTCTCCCTCTCCTCCTCCCCCTCACCATGCTCTCTTTCTCTCTGTCAAATAAATAAAATCTTAAAAACTTAAAAAAAAAAATAAAGGGGGGCGCCTGGGTGGCTCAGTGGGTTAAGCCGCTGCCTTCGGCTCAGGTCATGATCTCAGGGTCCTGGGATCGAGCCCCGCATCGGGCTCTCTGCTCGGCAGGGAGTCTGCTTCCCTTCCTCTCTCTCTGCCTGCCTCTCTGCCTGCTTGTGATTTCTGTCTGTCAAATAAATAAATAAAATCTTAAAAAAAAAAAAAAAAAATAAAGGGAGCAACCATGACACAAAGGCAGCTAATTTTGTCAGGAAGGAATCTGGGCCCAAGGTTGCCAGAACTTTTGATTTTTCAACAGAAAAGTCCTGGTTTTCAAACGTTGGCAAGTAATTCAAAATTGCGTACAACACTAGGACAAATATATCTGTGGGTCAAGTTTGGCCCGTAGGCCACCAGCTTGCAGCTCTGACCTGCAGTTGTTATATGAAGAATGGGCCCTTCCTTCTAGAATTAAACTTTGATTATCTAGCTTGCATGGCTATAATTTCCGTAGACAGTCTTCCAAAAAACAACCTGGACTCTTCTTAATTTCAAGACTAACTCAATTCTCCTATCTTACCTAAATTTCTCGGTGGATTCAGCGCAGATTTTGTGGTTTTTACCCCTAATTATGACCTATTTGGTTTCTTCCAATTTTGTCTCTTAAGACCACTGCTATCCCTGCCCAAAGAGACTCCCTTCAGCACATGATGCATCAGCCCAATTCTTCACCCTAACTTACAAGAAGAAAAACAAGCTGAACCCTAAAGTCTTGTCAGTTAGGACAGGACATGTTTTTTGTTGTTGCTGTTTTGCATTTAAAGATTTTGTTTCTTTGACAGAGAGAGATCACAAGTAGGCAGAGAGAGGTGGGGAAGCAGCCTCTCTGCTGAGCGGAGAGCCTGATGCGGGGCTAGATCCCAGGACCCTGAGATCAGGACCTGAGCCAAAGGCAGAGGCTTAACCCACTGAGCCACTCAGGTGCCTCAGGACAGGACATGGTTTTATGATTTAAGCCCATATCTGACAAGTTCCTACCTGCAGGCATGCATTATGGAAAAGCCTGGGCTTCTGGGATAGGGTCTTGAAGGAATTCTGATGGTGAGTAATCTGGGTAAAAGTACACTTGAATGAAAGAAGTTACAGATACACCATGACTGCACTTCTAAGAGGGGAGGTCCCCGCCCCCCAATCGAAAGAACAGTTCTAGCCAAAAAAAAAAAAAAGCAGTTCCTGGTATGGGAATGGGCTTTGTAAGGACAAAAGAACAAACGCAATAGAGAAAATCATAAAGGAAAAAAGATTTCCCAAATAAAAATCTTCTGTAGATGAAAATTATATAGAGAGATGTCCGTTGACTTCGATATCTTTGGAATTCACCCTAAGGCCATCGCGAGATCAACTGCACAGGCACTCTTAAGTGCTTAGGTAAAAGCACACCCTTACAAAACCTTCTAGAAGAAAACTGGGTAGCACATGAAGAATCTTAAAACAATTTATTTCTTCAGACACAGGTATTTCTCCTGTATAATTAATTCTATCCTACAGAAAAAAGGTGCAGAAACTCTGAATCTTTATATACAAAGACTCCCACAGTAATATTGTTTATAATAATAATACAGAGCATTTATTCTATGCCAGACACAGAGAAGTACTGTATGTATATTGATTCATTTATTCCTCATGACAATCCTTTTAGTAAGTACAAGTGATATTTCCACTTTCAAGTGAGAAAACCAAGGCAACAGTTTAATTCCTTCAAGGTAAACAGCTGGAAAAACAGCTGGTAAAGCTAGAATCAGTCCTGGTCTGGCATGGGAGTCCATGATCTTAACCACTATACCACACTGCCAGGAAACTACTTCTGTGTCCCTAAACCATGTTTTCTAAGAATATTTGATGAAAGGGATTAAATATTAAAATTTTTAAAGTATTATACAAACCAGAGAGAGTATAATCTCAAGAGTACTTTTTTAAAAAAATGAGATAAGGGGCACTGGGTGGCTCAGTTGTTAAGCATTTGCCTTAGACTTGGGTCATGATCCTAGGGTCCTGGAATTGAGTTCTGCAGCTTAAAAAAAATGCATAAAAAAAAAAAAGCACAGAAAAAAAACATTAGAAGGTATTTCACACAAGTAGTAGCAATAGTTCTCTGGGAGTTAAAATTATGGGTGGAGATGCCTGGGTGGCTCAGTTGGTTAAGCATCGGCCTTCAGCTCAGGTCATGATCCCAGCATCTTGGGACTGAGTCCCACATGGGGCTCCTTGCTCAGTGGGGAGCCTGCTTCTCCCTCTGCCTGCTGTTCCCACTGCTTGTGCTCTCTCTCTGACAAATAAATAAATAAAAATCTTTTAAAAATAAAAAATAAAATAATAAAAAAAATTAATTATGGGTGATTTTTCTTTTCTCCATTTTTTTGCGCTTTCAAAGTGCCTATAATGTCTATGTATTACCTTTAAATGATAGTAATAATAATAAAAAGACACTACTTTAAAAAATGTTTCTTTGAAGAACATTCCAAAAAACATGATGTACTAAACTTAAAAAGCAGAATATAAAGTTATATGCAAAGTATGATGCCAGTTCTAGAATGAAGAATGAAATGAAGACATGATTTAATTATTAAGGGTATTCATCTTTTGGTGGTACATTATGGGTGATTTGAGGATAAGTTCATCTCCCTAATGAACACATTTCATAATCAGAAAATTCTTCTTTTTTTAGAAAACTCAGTCAGGCCAGAGTTCCCCTGGCCAGACCTTAACACACATACAGCTGAGTACCCATCTTCCCCCCTCCTGGGGCTACATGTTGAGGGGTTCCCTTTAACATTTGTCTTTAACAAATTCCTTAAAGTCAGGAACCACAGTGTACCGTACAATCCTTTTTTGCTAACTCCAAGGTACTCTCAGTCTATTTTTAACACTGTGGGTAAACTACATATACTGCCAAAGCTTTTGCAAGCAGAGATATGGAAAGAACAGAGTATAATTAAGTGCTCCTGGCAGCACAAAGCTAAGGAACACAGGGAATTCTGCGCCACTTCTCAGCTAAAACACTAGCCCTACAAGACTGGGTAAATTCATAGCAATCTTCTCTTCTTTTCAGCGATTTCACACAGAATCCCTCCTGACCACTTCATGAGAGAAAAAGGAAAATAAAGAGGGATCAACTGGGATCTCCTGGGTTCTGACCTCAGAAACCCAAATATAGGGCACCTGGGTAGCTCAGCTGGTTAAGTGTCTGTCTTTGGTTCAGGTCACGATCCTGGGGTTCCTGGATCAAGTCCCACATCGGGCTTCCTGCTCAGCAGAGAGTTGGTCTCTCTCTCTAGGCTTCCCCCTGCTCATGATCTCCCTCCTTCTCTCTCTCCCTGTCTCTCTTGCACTCTCTTCCAAATAAATAAATAAAATCTTTTTAAAAAAAGAAAACTCAAATGCCAGTGAGAAAAAGCCATTTTGGTGTGGTGCCTGCTGCTTACAATGGGCTGCAAAGAGTGGCAGTGGCAGGAAACAGTGGTCCTGTAGGCTGAGGGTAACACCTTGGGACCCCAACAGTCTAGAGAAGTCTCTTTCCTCAGACTCTAAACTGGTTTAAACTGGGAAGTAAAGTAACTTATTTTTGAGAAGCAGGATAAAGTCCTCAGCACTGATAGATTTTTCTGGGTTAAGTTACAACTAGCGATGTTGACTCCAATCAAAACATCTGATAAGACAAAAGTAAGACATGCACCAACCTGTCACATAGACTGGGGAACAGAACTCTGGAAGAGTCAAGATAGAAGGAATGTGAGGCACCAAGAGTCACAAAAAGACTCAAACTTCTCTCATCCCTAAACTTTACCCTTACTTATCTCTCAGGGTTAAATGACTTTGGTGAGATTACTTCTTCAAAAGGTAAAATGCAGGGCGCCTGGGTGGCTCAGTCAGTTAAGCATCTGGGTCAAGATCCCAGGGTCCTGGGATTGAGTCCCACATTGGCCCCCTGCTCAGCAGGGAATCTGCCTCTCCCTCTTCCTGTCCCTCTCCCACCATGCTCCTGCCCAGTTTCTCTCTCTTAAATAAATAAAATCTTTAAAAAGAAAAAAAGAGACAAAAGGTAAGATGCCTCTCTTCCCCCTCCTCCCAAAAGCAAAATACGGTGTTCAAGTATCACGTACCACTACCATTATCAAAGGAACCCACACCCTCAAACATACTCCCCCATTAACCCCAGACTTACATATGCAAGCAGCAGCGAGGAGACGACAGGCCAGGTACGGGGGATCACAGGTAGGGAACGAGGGCTGGATGATGTAGTTGGCGAAGGTGATGGCAATGATGGCCTGACTGGTGGGCTCAACAATTAGCAAGGAGGCCCACAGGCGGATGAAGGCAATGAAGCCCCCAAAGGCCTCTAGAATATAAGCATAGCTGGCCCCAGACTTCGTGATGGTGGTCCCCAGCTCTGCATAGCAAAGGGCACCAACAACAGAGAAAAGCCCACCAATGGCCCACACGACCAATGACAACCCATAGGAGGCAGTGTATACCAGCACGCCCTTGGGTGAGACAAAGATTCCTGAGCCGATCATGTTGCCCACCACCAAGCTGACCCCATTCAACAGCGAGATCTCCTTCTTTAGCTGCATAGTTTCTGTAGTCTGTTGAGGCTTCATGCTGACATCTTCCCTGGGCTGGCTGGCCTCTGGAATAAGATGGTAGGCTGGTGGGGGGCTCTCCAGTTCCCTGGCTTCCATGGCAAATGTTTCCTTCACACTTGTGTTTACTGTGGCCTGGCAAAGAATATCAAAGAATATAAGTATTTAGTTTAGGGCAGAAGCTGGTGAGTCTCTGGTTTAGACTGGCAAAGCCAACCTTTTATATGCGAACAGCATGCCTTACACACAGACTTAAATATAATGAGGTTGTATCCATTTCCACCACAGGACACAGAGAAATAAATGGAGGTAGGCAGATAACTAGTGCTCCCAAGAGATAACTGTAAGAGCTCAGCTGATGGCAACTTCCAACAACAGAGAGTTGGAAGTTGGAAGTTGGCTTAACACAGAGGGTAGGCTGGCATTAGGTTTATCCATAGCATGGATTCTCCCTGAGGTGTACTGTTGGTCTGGCTGTCCCATTTTATTTATTTATTTATAGCCCTCTGAGCTACCCAGGCGGCCAATGGTCTTACCATTTTAAAACTTACAAACCTGACCTGCAAAGACCAGACTCTCACTACCAGGTTCACAGCCCTAGTCAGCCTGATAGATCTCTCACTGCCCATACCCACTCACCTCCCCCAAACATAAACAGGAACTTCTGCAGTATCCAGCAACATGTGGACAAGTCTGTAACTACTCTCAGGCCGGCAAAGAACACAAGCAGGTGGCAAGAAAGGCTAGGAAGATGCGAAGACCAGAGCTGATGCAAAGACTAGAACAAACAAAGGACCTTCATGAAAATACACACCTGTGTGTTGCTGTGTCTACAACACCAATCATATTTCCTACATTGCTGCTTGTCCATTCAATACATCTCTTTTTCCAAAGTGCCCAGAAAAGAGAGAGAATATAATTAAGACCCGATGGAGAAAGAACATCCAGAAGGCACCCTAACATGGGGCTTGACTGCTATAAGTTTATTTGTTTTCCTCCTTAGCATGCCTCTCACTACCATCTGGGGTTGCAAAGAGATTCTCCCAGAACAGGACCCAGAAACTGTGACACCCAGTCAGAGCTATGTGGCTTCTCTTATCCACAGACCTGGCATTAGAAGGCATCCCACAGGGAGATGGCACATACCCCTACTTTTGGTTTAGAGTTGAGCCAGTCCAAAAACCTCAAAGAAGTTAGATTCCACAACAACTTATATATGAAGAACCCAGAATCTGTCAGAGGAAGACGCACACCTTCCCGAATCTGCACTCAGCATGAACTTCTCCTGCTCCCAATCCCTGTGCCCCAGTAATCAGGAAGTCAGATCACCTACTTACTCCCATCTTCTGGATAAAGGATTCCTGTAACCATACGATTCCCACCCAAGAATCAGTCTTTTAAGGTCACAGAGATAACTTCAGAGATAAGAATGGGATCAGTACATCATCTTCCCAGAAGCCTCTCATCTGCTCAATAAAGATAGAAGTGCCAGAAACTTACCTCACGGAGCTCAGAGTGAGGGAATAGCCACTCAAGAGTAAGCAGTTCTCAGGGAAAAGTTCAGTCTCCACAGCTCTATCCAAAACTCCTGCCTTACCTGTCCCGGTCCCCTGCCAGGGTCTGCACTGGAGATAAGTGAAAACACTCCTCTGGGGGCACTAGCAAGCCTTCCCTCACTCCCAGCCTACCTCTGCTTAGATAAGACCTGGCTTTAAGGCACACCACTCTTCCTTTCACTCTTGGCACCAAGCCATACAGGTTTTCCTATGCAGGCACAGGCATGTGGGTACATACTTGTTTTCACGTGTCCGTCAGGTGAGCCAAAGCAACCATGAAAACAAACTTGGAAATAGCAGAGGAGCCTATATTCTCACATGAGTCAGGTGCAGACCTAGATTGCCTTTTTCCACCCAACTCAACAGAGAGGCGAGCAGAGAAACCTGGTCCCAGAGACTACTTCAGGTTCCCCTCTATTCAGTCAGATGCTAGCTAAATGGGGAGAGGAGGCTGGGGCTCCCACATCTTCTTTTTGGATCTCTGATACCAGAGCATGGGTTTTCTACACATCAAACAATCTGGAAACACCAGACAATTTAACTCAATCCTGATGATGAGGGAGCAGAAGGCAAGCTGAGGACAAAGCACAAGCTGACACCCCACAACCCCCACCCCTAAGGTGGGATATATGTGACATTCCTCAGCACTCCTGACTGCCCTGAAGCTAAGGGAAGGAAAAACAAATGGTTAATTTATAGAGATTATAGTTCTGCAGGACAGGAGTTTACAAATGTCTTAGTGATTTACAAGAAAAAAGCATTCTTATCAATAACCTAACTTCCAGAAGGAAATGTAGATAAAATTAAGTGTCCTTATGACTTGAGGCAGGCAGAGTATAATGTTCACCCAGGGCAGCTCTTTCTGCCCAAGGACCCTGTCCCCATGTGTTAATAAAACCAGCATTTTGCACCAAAGATGTCTCAAGAATTCTTTCTTGGCTGCTGGCTCCAGACCTCACCCCACCAAACCTCACCTATATTCCAAAACTGTATCACTGACACTATTAACCTGGAGCTCCCTCAGGTTAAGGGCTCAGTCCCACAAAACTGCCCCCTTTTCAGATGCCAAAATCAAGCACAGGTTGTTATCAGGGCTTCCAACTGACTGGCTATAAACTGGAGGATCCCACTACCCCGTCCTTGGGTTCAATTAATTTGCTAGAATGGCTCACAGAACTCAAGAAAACAGTTTACTCACTGGATTACCAGTTTATTATAAAAGGATATTACTCAGGAACAGGCAGATGGAAAAGATGCATAGGGCAAGGCATATGGGAAGGGGTGTGGAGTTCCATACGCTCTCTGGACAAGTTACTCACCCAGCACCTCCACCTAGTCACCAACTCGAAAGCTCTCCAAACTCTGTCCTTTTTGGGTTTTTATGGATGCTTCCTTACAAAGGCATGACTGATTAAAATCCTTGGCCATTAGTGACTGATTCAATCTCTAGCCCCTCTCTCCCTTCCCCAAAGGTCGGACTGCACTGAAAGTTCCAACCACTTAATCACACAGTTGGTTCCTCTAGCAACTAGCCCCCATCCTCAGAAGATCTGGATGCTTTCCAAAAATCACCTCATTAACAAAAACTGAGAGGCAGGTTGAAAGGGGCTTGTTATATAAATAACAAAAGACATCCATTTCACTTTCATTGCCCTGGAGCTATTTCAGGAATTGAGAGCAAAAGCAAGTATTATAACAGAAAATGCCCCTATGGCTCTTATACAGGAAATTATAGGAACTGTGTCTAGAAACAGTGAATGAAGACCAAATACTTATTTATTCATAATATCACAGGGAAGGAGAGAAATTAATCTCACAGGAAAACAAAATTAGTATAAAATGGAATTGCCGTGGCTTCTAACTATCCATGTAGGATACAGAAAGCTGGGAAAAGCATCACTCCAACTCCAATGACAAGAAAAAAACAATCTACAAAACCGTAACTTTTCTTGAAGCCGTCAGAGAGCTGAGGTTACAGGACAACCTACTGGACTGAAATTTAAGGAAAAACAGGCACCTCCCTGTAGAGATGCAAGCTCTGGTTCACCTGTGGCACACGGAGAATGATGCGACCAACATGTAGGCAAGTAAGAAGACCTCAGGTACAATTTAATGAATTACTAAAGGTCTTGTGTGGGTTAGCAAGAGCATAGACAGTCAGAGGTTTTTCTCCACAGACCTCAGTGGATTGGATGTTCATAAAAAATACTAGGCAGTTCAGCTTCGGTCATGATCTCAGGGTCCTGGGATCGAGCCCTGAATGGAGCTCTCTGATCTGCTTCTGCCTGCCTCTCTGCTTACTTGTGATCTCTCTCTCTGTCAAATAAATAAATAAAATCTTAAAAAAAAAAAAATACTAGGTAGAAGACCAGAGACCGCTTCTCAGTAGTGCTAGCCTAGAGAAGAAAAGCAATCAGTACTCTGGGAAAAATGCAAAGGTCTTTTCTAAAGAATAAAAATTTACACCCTTGGAGAAAGGGTGGCAAACTCTGTCCTTTCCAAGGCAGCTGGGGCAAAGTAAAAGAAAAATAAAACAACCCTTATGCCTGGAGGAAAGAGGAAATTCTGACCGGACCATCAGAAGTGTTCTACCTCTGAGGCAAGAGGAATATCACCAGAAAGATCTTCACCTCTCTTCCCCCCAGACCCAGAAAAACAGGGCCTGCCTAACACTGAGGCTGAACCAAGACAACAAGAGAATCCCTGCTCCCCACCACCAGGTAAGCAAGCACCCAACAACAAAAGAAAGACCTAAAGTTGAGGGTAAAGCATAAACATTGAGGAAAAGCCCTCCCTCCAGCAAACCCATCCTAAACCTAGGAATTTGAAGCTCCCATGTGCACCTAAGTTAACCATAACAACAAAACCCAAACCCAACTCATCTCCTAACCGACTGTAACTCCCACTCTAAGAGCCTACAAAAGAAGAGATGTACGCAGAATAAAGACTTGTCTCACTCTCTACTGTTTTAAGTCCTATATCTAGCAATCAGTAACAAATTACAAGCAACACAACAAAAGGCAAGAGAAACAGCCTACTATTAAGAAGCAAAGTAATCAGGGGCACCTGGGTGGCTCAGTCGGTTAAGCATCCAACTCGTGATTTTGACTCAGGTCATGATCTCAGGGTTGTGAGATGAAGCCCGTGTCAGGCTCTGCACTCAGCAAGGAGTCTGAGTGGGATTCTCTCCCTCCTCTCCCTCAGTCCCTCCTGCCCACAGGCATCCTCATTCTCTCTCTCTCTCTCTCTCTCTCTCTCTACCAAATAAATAAATAAATAAATAAAATCTTAAAAAAAGAAAATTAAGGAAGCAAAGTAATCAACAGGACAAGACTTACAGATGACCCAGATACTGGAACCACCACACAAGGAATTTAAAATAACTATGATTAATACATTAAACACTCTAATGTAAAAGTTAGACAGCATGCAGAAACAGATGTGAAATTTCAGCAGAGAGATAAAAACCATAAGAGCCAAAGTGGAAAAAATTGAAAAAAAAAAAAATAGAATGGAGCCCTCGAGAATTATAGGATGATGTTAAATGATCTGAGGTAAATATAAAAAAATACTTTTTGGAAAAAAAAAAAAACTTTTTGGGTGGCTATTTTTATTTGCTTTAGAATATAATCACCTGCCTCAAGTAAAAATAGTAGTAATGAATTGTGGATTTATAGCATATATAAAAGTAAAATATAGGTGGGGAGCCTGGGTGGCTCAGTTGGTTGAGTATCTGCCTTCTGCTTTGGGTTGGGGTCATCATCCCAGGGTTCTGGGATTGACCTGCATCTGGGTCCCTGCTCAGTGGGGAGGCTGCTTCTCCCTCTTCCTCTGCTCCTCTGCCGCTCACACTCTCCTCTCTCTCGGTCTTGTTTCCTCTCTCAGATAAATAAATAAAATCACTTTTTAAAAATTACAGCATAGAAAATACAGTCAATAATATTGTAATAGCAGTGTATGGTGACAGATGGTAATTAGACTTCTCATGGTGAGCATGTATGGAATTGTGGAATCACTATGTTGTACATCTGAAACTAATATAACATTGTGCATCAAATATACTCAAATAAAAAAAAAATTTTAACAAGTCAGAAAAAAAAACACAAGCAACAAATAGAAAACAGAAAACAACTAGCAAGATGGAAGATTTTAATCCAACCATCCCAATAATAACATGAAATGGAAATGATCCAAACATACCAATTAAGAGACAGTCGCTGACAGATTACATTAAAATGCAAAACCCAACATGTAGTCTACGAGAAACCAGCTTTAAATATAAAGACATTGGAGGGCGGCTGGGTGGCTCAGTAGGTTATAGGTATAAAAAGATAGGTTAAAAGGTTATAGGTAAAAAGATAGGAAAAGATAGGAAAAAATAAACCATGCAAACACTGACTGAAAGTTGGAGTAGCTATTATTAACATTAGACTAAAAATAAACTTGAGAATTAGAAATATTGCTCGGGGTTATTCACAGACCTGTATCCCTGGGGCTAATAATACATTATATGTTAATAAAAAAATAAATTAAAAAAAAGTAATATTGCTAGGGATAAAAAAGGACATTACATAATGATGAAGAGGTTAATTCACCAAGAAGACAATTCCAAATGTTTATTCCTCCAACAACATAGCTTCAAAATACATAAAATACATAAAGCAATATCATAGATCTGAAAAGAGAAATACCAAATCCACAATTACATTTAGACTTCAAAGCACCTCTCTCAGCCAAAATAGAATACGTAGACATAAAATCAGCAAGATCTAGGGCCACCTGGCTGGCTCAGTCAGTAGAACATGAGACTCTTAATCTCAGACTCATGAGTTCAAGCTCCATGTAGAGTGTGGGGAAAAAAAAAAATCAGCGAGATCTAAAAGACCTGAAAATGGAATGTCCCAACATAGCTCTTGTCTAAGTAATTATGTGAATTCTGAGTGGGAGAGAAAAAAAAAAAAAAAACTGGCATCTGCAATAGGTTTACCTCCACGCAGGAGGGCAGGACAGGATGGGGTGGGAGACAACCTTCTAAGCAGAAAAAACACCGCTTTGGGTCCCCAAGTTTCACAACAGAATAACAGCCCTATCTCTCGGTTGGTAGCAGAGCACTGTTAGGAACTCTCCCCCAGGTGCTGCCTGAGGCCTTTAAGACCAATTCTAAGCTTCTTAGCAGGGCCTTATCACTATGTCCCCGCACCCCAACCCCTGATCCCAAAGTCCCACCCAAGGTCCTGTCCCAATGAATTACTTGCAGTTTCCAGAACCTGGAGTAGTCCAGAGTTTCCAAAGTCCATCAGACAAACACATCTTTGTTCATACTGAGCTCTCTGCTTCTAACACTCTTCTTCTCCCACCTTTCCCCCAACAGCCTAGCTGCCATCTTTCTCCATATATCTCCTTGTCCCCATAAAACTTTTAGTACATACTTCTGCTTAGCAGCCCCCTCATTTTGTCGCATTTACGTAGCTTCAGTCTCCCAACTGAAGTTTGTGAGTTCCTGATCTACTTTAATAGCACCCAGTACAAGGCCTAGCACAGGCTCAGTACTCAGTCCATGATCACTAAATAAAATATTCCAAGGACAGAATAGCTAAAAGAAAAAATACACAACTAACCCCCCTGAAAGTCTAACACCCTGAGCCACCTGCTTGCCAGAACAATAAGCAAAAAAAGCCTTAAGAGAAGTGATCAAACTTCAGTCTGAGACAGTGGTTCCCATCATTTTGTCAAAGTAGTTGTTCTTTAAATAACAGATGATAGGGAAAAAATTATAACAAGCAACTATGACCACAATAATGGTTTTGAATTCATTTGCATTTAATTAGTCACCACTCTATCTACAGCAGTCCATACCTGTGTGAGATGCATTGTTTATCCTATCCCCACAGAACAGATTTGCAGACCTTCTGCAACAATGGGCTGAAAATCAAGGAGCTCCTAACTAAGCCACTATCTCCAGCTCAGTAGCCTGGTATTTGGGGGAAAGAGTATGCAACAAAATCTTACCAGATCATCTTCTCTGAACTGGCTATCTTCCTGCCTTCAATTTTTATCCAACTGATAAGAGAAATCGGTATGTGAAGATCACACACAGTATGAGATTTTCAGTCTCTCTTTCTCTAAAATCACTATTGAAGACAATTTCCATTAAATCATTCAGTGTAACCACTAAGTTTCTGTCTTGAAAAACTAGCATTAAACCCAGCCTGTAAGGACACAATGCAGCTTTCTAGTAGGTTTTCATCCTGTTTTACAGGCTCCTGCACCAGATAACAAAGGAACTCATAAGACTACTAACATTTCCTCATGAAAATTTAACCATGAAACTACCACATGCAATTTTCAGGGGGGAAAAGAAAGAAGAATCTTTCAAAGTTCAGTTACAAAGAATACTTTAAAAGCTGGATTTAAAAACTCTTTTATAGGGACACTCGGGTGGCACAGTTGGTTAAACGTCTGACTCCTGGTTTTGGCTCAGGTTATGATCTCAGGGTGGTGGGACCGAGCCTCACATTGGGCTCTGTGCTCAACACAGAGTCTGCTTAAGACTTTCTCTCCCTCTGCCCCTCCTTCCATGCCCATGCTCTCTTTCTCTCTCAAAATAAATAAATAAATCTTTATTTATTTAAAGATTTCATTTATTTATTTGTCAGAGAGAGAGTGCCTGAGCACAAGCAGAGGGAGCAGCAGGGGAGCGGCAGGCAGAGGAAGAAGCAGGCTCCCCACCTAGCAGGGAGCCTCACATGGGACTCAACTCAGAACCCTGGGATCATGACCCAAGCCAAAGGCGGAGACCTAACTGAGCCATCCAGGCATCCCAAATAAATAAATCTTGAGAAACAAAACAAAACAAAACTCTTTTATAATTGATGACTGTGGGGGAAAATATTGTTGAGAAAAATACTAAAATCTCTACTGTGAAAACGTACACTCTTTATTTTCTAAGCTTTTCTGAGATTTATATATTTCCTCAATTAACAGGCATTAATTTTTTAATGCTTAATCTCCTTCTCTCTGTCTTTCTATATATATATATATATGTATATATACATATATATATAGTACCTATATATATATATAGTACCCTTATCAAATGAAAAAGTTAGTAACTCTACATTTATCTTTTTACCTAAGATACCAGGAAACTCAATATCAAATTCAGCAACCAATCACAGTGAATAAATACCCTCACTTTCAACAATACGTGATATCTAGTCTTTTCCACTGACTTTGGTTTTCAATTTCTTTTTAACGACCTCACTGAAGTATCTTTAATTATAAACCACCACAATTGCTCTTTAGAAAATGATAAAATTTAATATACAATTTTATATAATATAGTGTTACATAACTGTTAATTATATGTGAGCCACTCTCATTAATAGCATCCTATTCATATGCTGCACAAGTAACTGAAACTTCACAAATCGCAAAGATCCAAGATCTAATAGAGAACAGAGCAATAATATTCACCTGTGAGGAAATAAGCAAACATCACACTTTCATAAGCTGCCTCATCATAAATGGTCAGGTACTGAGAAGAAAATGGAAGTCTCCACAGCAAGGCCTAATTCCATTTGTCTGTCTTGGCCATTTAACCTCTGCAACAAAGAGTAAGAGGCAGCTTATCAAAAAAATGAATCTAGTAAGCAGCAGGATGATTTTTCCCTCTGTAAAATTAAAGTTTTACATGCCTGGCAGGGGCAGCACTCAATTACTGAGAAGTTTCATCATACCCACAGTGGACTGTAACTGAAGCAACCAGCCCACACGTGTCAGAGAACTAGCCCGGTCATCTCAAAGCATTCATGTCTAGACGGCTGCTGCTCCCCAAGTCCCAGGTCCTGTAAGCCCTGCTTCGGTCACTTTTGTAGAAATGTATCCATGTCCTGGAGACTATAGCAGGAAATACACAGGACAGAAGTCAGGAAATTTCCTGTACCAAGAAGGGCCAAGGAGATCAGTCACATAACTGGTATTTACTTTTAGTCTGCAATAAAAATACACCCATCGCCAGACAGGGAAGAAGGAAGAAAGGGAAAAAAAATCGTGTTTGTGGCTTTCTGCTTATTTGTTAGGGCAGGGAAATCAAATATAAGAATTTGAATGGCAAGCTGAGAACAAAGTTGGGAAGCAAAAGCCATTAGCCCACAAGGGCACCTTCGTAATGTAGGCAGCCTGGGCAGTTTCCACCTAAAGGGCTTCACAGCAAGCAAAGAGAGACAAAAAAATGAGCTCAGGAAGCACTCACAGACTTTCAAAAAGTCTGCTCCTCCCAGATCTTCAAATCAGAGAGCAGCTCTCAGAGAAGCTTCTGCTACCACGATGCTAGATTTGCTGGCAGTGCTTTTTTCCCCCTATCAAGGGCAGAGACCGAATTCTTTTGAACTGTGTCACCAAGCACACAGCCCAGTGCACACAAGGGGCACTCAAAAACATCTGTTAAATATTGATTCCCATTTATACTGACCATTACACAATGTGGTACCCAGACTGTTTGCTTAGTGCTTCGTAAAGAATTCTCAGAATGTTTTACAAATATCTCCTTCCATTTATAACATGAGATGACCAAACAAGGTGACAGGACATGAAGACACAAGAGAGAGCCATCAAAGCAGGAGCACACAATCCCCTGGTGCCAACAGGCCAGGGCTGCGAGCCCCCGCCCTAGACCATCTCGAAGCATCCCAGGAAGCCCTGATCCTGCCCGAGGGGAGCCTTGCACGCTGTCCTTCTCACTTGCAGTTTCTCACAGCCCAGGTTCTCTTTCTCATCACACTCACCCTCCAGGATTTCCCAGTCTCTCACACAGCATCGCACTCAGGGACTCTTATCACCACAGTGTCCCTCACACTCTCAGCCTCTCCCGCACTTCTGGAGTCACCCTCACACTCAGACTCTCCCACCCTCAGGGTTTCTCTCTCTCTCTGTGTCTGTCTGTCTGTCTGTCTCTCTCTCTCTCTCTCTCTCTCTCACACACACACACACACACACACAGACACAGACACACTCTCCCTCCCTCTCCCCCCACCCCCTTCTGGTCTAGGGCGCCTGTTCCTCTCTCATCACACCCAGAGCCTCCTTCACACCAAGGTGTCTCCCACACTGTCATTTGCTCACTCAGGGTGTTTCTTGCACACTCGCACAGTCACTCTCAGACTCGGGGAGGGTCTCTCTCTCTCTCTCTCTCTCTCACACACACACACACACACACGTAGTTTTTCTCACACGCTCAGTCTTACACTCAGGGTTCCCCACACTCCTGAAGCCACCCTCACGCTCGCGGTCCCTCTCACACGCACAGCGTCACCCTCCCGCACGCTCTCGCCGCGGCGTGTCTCACGTGCCGCCGGCCCGCCCCGCGCCGGGCTTGGCTGGCCCGCACGCTGCGGCGCAGCAAGCACGCTGCGGCGGCGGTGGCGGCGGCCGCGCGGAGCGTTCGGCCTCCAGGACGCGACCCCAGCCCCGGCCCCGGTCCCGGCCCGGCCCCGGCCCCGCTTCCCCCGCTTGCCCGCCCGCGGCCCGTTACCTCGCAGTAGCCAGGCGCCAACAGGATGCTCGCTCGCTCGACCGCCGCGGCTGCCGCGGCCGCCCAGACCCCGCCCCCGCCACGTCACGCGCCGCCGGATCGCGACAGCGCGCCCCGCGTCGGGACAGGACGCCTAGCTCCGCGTGGGGTTGGCTGGCGGCGGCGCTTCTGGGCCTCTGGGGCAGTCGTGGCCCGAGGGATCGGCCGACCTGGCTCGGGAGTGCAGTCCCAGCGTCTGCGTGCTCTTGGCTGCTGGTGACCGGGGCCGGCCACCCTCGCTCTAAATGGCCCGCACAGCCCGTTCCTTTGTGGCTCTTAGCCAAACAGCTTACACAAGGAGCTCTAAACAGCCTCCATGCCCCGTTCACCACCAGCGCCTCCGCTACGCACCTTAGGAAGACACAGACCCGGGACCTGTCCTCCCACATTCACAACTCAGACCCGGCTCAAGTCCACGGAGGCCTCCACAGACACAGGGACACGGTTGTGATTCCGTAGCGAACACCGCCCCCTCCCCGCCCCGCCTTCCCGGGGCTCAGGTTTGAGGACATTTTTAGGTCCTCGGCTTGTGTGACCCTACTGACACCCTCTGGGGGGAGGTGCACTCTGTCTTCCTCTACCCCTGGCCGCTCCTCCTCCTCTCCTTCTAGGGGCTCTTTTCATCTGGTAGCTCTGGGGCTCTTCTAGGGTCTTCTGACCTCATGGGCAGCTGAGCCCTCCCTCTTAGCTTCCTGTCCACAACCTCAAGCCATGACTCTCCTGGGACATGGAGTCATTTCCCCCAGACACGTGTTTACAACTGCACACCCTCTAATTCCAGACCGACCATACCCAAACCCCTGCTCCCCATCACCCAGTGACAGGGCCAGAAATGGTCAGCACAGTGGACCCTTCCTCCTCCTGCCCCACCCTCCCAAGGACCTGCAACGGGTTCTCAAGGTTTTCTTCACTCCAGATCTAGTAGCCTCCCAATCCCCACCCTGTTTCTTCTAACCCCAGAGGGGAGTGACTTTGAATCTCCTCTGCCTAAAAACCCTTCCATTCTCCTACCAAAGACCTGAGACAATGATCTTTGAACCCTCACTGGTATGGCCCCCTTGTGCTCTCTCTTAGAATACCTTCCCTAAGTGTGAATGAGAGTATGTGTATATTTGGAGTCTTTAGAATCTGACCCTTCGACCCCTGGATCATTCCTTCTGTCTCCCTGGCCAGGCGGAGGAAGGACTCTCTGCTCACTTGTCACTCAATGGCAGCTGGTCCACTTATCCCTGCAACAAACGCATACATGACCTGCCAACATCCAGCTGTCTGGCTTTGCTGTCTCACACCCGGTTACAACCCACCATGAAAGCCCACTATGCAGCAAGCACTGATCGGATGTTCCCCATTACCATCCGTGTTCCTCAAGACCACCCGCAGAGTACATTTATTCAGCTCCATTCTTCAGACTAGTAAGCTGAGGCTCAGGGAGGTAAGGAGACTCCCCAGGCTACTTGCCTGGAGCTGGTAAAGGTCATATTTGAACCCCAGTTGGCTGGTGTTAAAGCCTGCTGTGGCTCCATGCCCTCTCTCTGCAGCTGTGAAACCAACGATGGCAGTGGGGCTGAAACAGGTCAGGGGTGAGTAGGTGGCTGTAAGGCCACCACAAGGAGTGGCATGGGAGGGTGGGTATCAGCACAGAGCTGGGACTCAGGCTGGGCAGGACCTGGAGGTAAGGGTTTGCACCCTTTTGTGTTGTTATCCTTTCACCAAGGCCAGCAATTGCAGCTGGACCCATGTATCGCTGGGCATCCTCACCCTCTCTGGGCCACCCTTCTTCCAGGTTTGGCCAATAACTAGCGCAGTGAGGGTTCAGGGCGCCCTCTAGTGGTCCAGAGTGTATTAAAGCATAAAGCCCAGGCTCAGTGGAGGAGGCAGGTACTGGGGCTCTCACCACCTCGCACTGCCCTAAAACTCCTCTCTGAGCTCCGTACCACAGACAGTCCAGGACCCCATCTCTATACATGTTTCCCTGTATCAGTCTCTCTGTTTCTCTGTCTTTATCCATCTCCACTGACTCCCAGTCTTGGTCTCTGCCCATCTTGGTCTCTGTCCTAGTCTCAGCCTAGTTTCTCCTCCCTCAGTCTCTGTAGGGAGAGAGACAGATGGTGGGCAGATAATCTGAAGAAACGAAGTAGATGGGTTGTGTCTTAAAAAGAACTCTAAGATCAAAAGATGCTGAGACCTGAAAGTTGAGAGAGGACAAAAAGGCTGGGAAGGAGAGTCCAGCCAGGGTGACCTGCAGGACTGCCCCCGGCTCTACCGCAGCATGTGGGGCCTGCCGGCCAAGCAGGAGCAGAGGGAAGGCAGGAGCCACATTCCAATGGGAATGTTTCAGGTCCTGGTTCTTAATCCCAGCAGAGGAAGCAGACTCCAGGAGGTGGGGCAGGAGGATAAAGCCCGAATAGGTGCACAGAACCCATACTTTCCTTGGCGCTGAGAGAACCCATCAAGGCTTCAGGAAAGGTCTAGCCCCTGATTACCTGCCTCTTTATCCCCTTCACCACTCCACTACCTCCCTCCTCTCATGCTCAGACCAGAGCTTCAGCCACGGTACTTTACAGCATCCAGAGTATTTTTATTGCCAGAATCAAGGTACAGCCTGCTTAGAGCTCCATGAGGAGCCCACCACCCAGGATTAAAAGGAGAGAGAGATGCTGGGTATGTTCCCAACAGAGAAAATCCAGCTCCACAGAAACCCAGTGGGAGAGCAGCACGGTCCAGCCTGACTGTGGCTCTGGGGTCACAGCCTAGAGGCCAGACTCCAGTCTTGGCCTATAGCCACTGCCCACTTGGAGAGGACTGTCCCCAAGGCAGATTCAGACTCTCCATCCATTCCTGCTATTATAGGAAGATCCGTGAAGCACCTCTGGAACAGACAGAAAACTCCCAGGGGAGCCCCAAGCCACCCGGCTCTCTCAGGGGCCCACTCAAGTTTCTGGGCTAGTCTCTGCAGACTAAACACCACTGAGCTGTCTGGTGGGAGTAGGTGCTAGGCAAGAAGGGCAAGAGCCCTACCTCTTCTCAGCCCTGTGCCAGCCCACCTGGGTGCTAGAAAAACCCTATGGCAGGGTGCTAATGTGCTAAGCTCTCGTGGGGTTAACAAGAGGGCAGCTCAGGGTAGCTCTGAATGGCCTCAGCTGCTTCCTTGAGTTTTCTTCATGAGTACCTAAAAGGCCATGGGCCTGAGCCCTGCTCTCATCCCTGAACCACAGTCCCAGGGCAAAGGGAACCATCATCAATACTGTGGGTAACAGCCCAACCAAGGGGATCAAGGCTCCAGGGACAGACCCCCAAGAAATGGAGGGCCCCCTGCTGCCCAGTCCTGAGCTAGGCTGCTCTTGGAGGTAAGGGAGGTAGGAGTGAATGTCCCAGGACCTGGGAAGCACGGAGAACAGAACCCGCCCCTGCCTGCAGGAGGAACTGGGCTGCTCCAGAAAGCCACAGCCAGGCTGTTGAGCAACGAGGCCATAGGGAAGCCAGCAGCTCTGGCCACTCACAGCCAGTAGCAAGCCTACCTGTGGCCAGTTTGTGGGAAGATCACCGTAGGGACCAGAAGCCCATCCCTGGGACCTTTAGGGACAGGGACCACAGCTCAGTAATATCCCTCACAGGAAGACTGAGGGACCAGGGCCTGGTGGGTGAATGTGAAAAGGCCACAGGGGTACGAGGAACAAATGGCCCCTGAGTTCGGGATTGGGGCCAGGTGCCAGCCGATCCGCCTGCGGAGCCAGTCCTGAGGTCACAGCAATCCCATCAGCAGCAGCATTCTTTCCAGCAAGGATCCCTCAAGCGAGGCCAGACTATTTCTTCCTTCTTCCCTCCCACAGAGGAAGGATAAGAAACAGCACTTCCCAGTGGCAGACGTGTCACAACCCAAGACTGAGGACCTTAGGCAGTCAGTCACAGACCACTTCACTCATGGGCCGCGAGAGCCCCGGAGGACAAGAGAAGCAGCTATGGCCACACCATCCCACAGCCCTGCCTGGCATGGAGATCAGGGCCCAAGGAGGACACGTTTCAGGTAGGCCAAGGTGGTGGCATTGGCCAGCATCTCTATGTGCTCACTGCCCGGCAGCGCCTGCAACGACACTTGCTGCTCCTGGCGTCCGCGCCAGGCCTGGCACTGCAGGGCACTCTGCAAGTTCACGGTGCCATCGCCGTCACCAAAGCAGATTTTGGGATCGCGGTCCGGGAAGCTCTCATAGTAGAAGGAGTCTGGCGTGGGGACACCGGTGCCGTAGAGGCAGTGCAGCGGCACGCCGGGAGGCACTGTGGCTTCAACCAGCCCCTCTGTGTCCTGCCGCATGAGCCACCCATCTTTGAAGCTGATGTCCTGGAAGAAGCGGTGATAGTCCCGCAGCGTGTAGTTGGTTGTGGGGGTGTGCACGAAGATCTTCCCAGATGACCAGGTGTAGTTGTAGGGCAGCAGCCAGCTGGTGGAGACGGCAGACCGCTGCTGCTCCCGGATCTTCAGGGGCCCGATGACTGGGATCCGATTGTTGTCTCCTGCAGGGAAAGGGTTCGCTCAGTCTGTGCTCAGGCATGCACACTGGCTGTGGAGCACGGTGCAGCCAAGGCCTCTATGGGGGCGGGGTGGCAGGAGGGGCACAGTCAGCAATCCCACACCTCCATACTGTCATCTGCATTATAACTCCCATGTTTCCCTTATTTCTGCTCTATCTGGGAAGCACGTGAGCGTGATTTCTTTCTTTACTTCTGCACTTCATCACCAGGGATTTAGGCAGTGCATACCCACGAGGTGATTCATTGTGTAAACGGTACCCTCCACTGAGCACTTGTGACCACTTGTGGGCACTGACCTTGCTGAAGGTCATTCAGCACATTGGCAGCCCAGAGACACATTCCTCTTTTTCTTTTCTTACACTGAGTTATGAACATGTTTCCCTTCCCAGGCTCAGTCTCAGGCCTGCCGCCAGCCACCCAGGTCGTATTCCACTCATCTGCCTGTCACTGGCCCAGGCAACCAGGCCAGCAGGAGTCGAGGAGGCTGCAGGCAGAACAAGAAGCTTTCTCACACAGGAATGCCAACAACACAGCCGGTGAGGCCTCTGGGAGTGAGCTGGAACTTGTTAACAGGGGTCATGTGATCTATTCAGGGCCCACAGCCACCCATCCCTGCACCTCTCTGACTGACCAGAGGCCTTCCGCTCTTGTGGGGTTCTGGCTGTAGGACCCCTAAGGAAAAGGAAGCCCCTAGCTAGTCCATGACTACCACGCCCCTGTCAAGGCCTGACAGAACAGTTTCCCAGAACCTGAGGCACAGCTCTAAAGGGATTCACAGGGAGGCTCAGAAAGGCCGGAACCCAAGCCCCACCACAGCTCCTGTCTCAGACTCAGGCATGCCTCCATCTGTCCTTTCAGGTCCAGGCTGGACAGAGTAGGTGGCTATAATGAGTCCTCTCTATATCTGGATTCATCGTCCAGCCAATCTAGCATCACTACCGGGAGAGGCACTGGGTCTCACGTGATGGCAACTATCAGTTGACCAACAAGTAGGTCAGGCAGTGCTGATGATATAAGGAAGAAAGCTCCTTACATGCTGAGCACAGCTGCGGCTTGTGGCTCCTAAAGTAAGGGGCCATGGGTTCACCCCCCAGTCCTAGCAGAGGGAGGGAGGAAAGCCCCACGGCTACAGCTAGCACGCTGACGGTCATAAACAGGCAGGTGAACTGGGGAGGATTGGGGAAGGAGGTGGCAGCTTTCCCCACTGCCAAGCAAGGAAGCCCAAAGAAATCTGCACCTGCTTCCTCCCTGCGTTACCCACAAAGGCTCCCCACTGCCACAGATGGAGGTCTAACTCATAAACAGGAAACTGTAGCCCAACATTCCTTCTGTGGGGCAAAGGTGGAAAGGAAGAAAGGGAGAAGGCTCCCCCAAAGAACTTGGGGTCAGACTGAGTTAGGCCAGCCAGGCCAGAGCACAGTGTATGTGTGAAGACATAGGCACAAGCAAGTGCCTGTGTGACCAACAGTTGTGCCACTGCCTGGACACACTGGAAAAAAAAATGTACACGGATAACCAAGGCCATCACCTAGTGGGACGAAATTGTTAGGTTCCCTTTTGGAAAGTGTTAGTTTCTCTTCTGGAAAAAAAGATGGTTGGAAAAGCATATGACTCTGGAGAAAGAAGGATCCTCACCCAAGAGAAGAGACACAAGGTGGCCCGGGAGGACACTGCTGAAGGAAAGAGAGAACACCATCCCTGACATCAGCGCCCCCCACCCCCCGCCCCGCCCCCGCCATACTTGCTAGGTGAGGCAGGGTCTTACCTGAGGCCAGGACACGCCAAGTCTTGGCCACGCCCCCCCAGGGCGCACCCAGTGCCACAAATGCACGGATATACTTGTTCTTCCAGGCCTGTGGCTGTCGCTGCAGAAAGTAGAGTGTGTACATGTTGCCCATGCTGTGGGCAACCAGCACCACAGGGCCCCCATACAGCTGGTGCATCTCCTCGATCATCTCCCGGAGGGCCAGGAAGTAGGGCCCATTTTCATCTGTAGGCCAGAGCCAGGCAGTAGTCAGGAAGGAAGGGTCCTGGAGCCTGAACCACTAAATGTTCTTCAGGCCAGATCCAAGACTAGGTGGGTGGTGAAAATGCTAAAATCCAAGGGGAAATGGTCTTCTTTCCCAAGATGGGAGGAAACCTAGGAGCTCCTTTTCTCCTCCTCAGCTTCATTATCTCTCCCCAGGGCTCAGAGGCCCAGAAATCCTGAGGGGAGGAATGGGGAAGGACAGGACAGACTGACTAGGGGTGACAGCTGTGATTCCTAGGCTAGACACAAGAGGGCCCAGGGTTAGGGGAGAGCCCAGGGCCTAAGGTGACTGTGACCTCCTCGTCCCCACCCCCAAGACGTCAGGGAGGAAGCAAAAGTAACAACTTACTTGGGGCTCGGCGCCAGTCGTAGGGGGCCCCCCGGACATCCTCACCCCGTGTGTAGCCCCAGTCCACAAGGCTCTCTACCATGGTATGGAAATAGGAACCTGTAGACAGTAATGTATGGGAATTAGAGAGAGGACAGGCAATGCTAACCCCCCACACCATGCCCAACAAGGAGACTGGGACATCTACTGTAGAAAGATCCCCAAGGGAACACTGTAAGACTCAGCGGCTACACTGATTAGAGACAGTTTACAGGCTACCCTTTCAAACGAAGAGCACTTCTCCCACTCTGGGAATATAGCAAAACTTCCAGCTCTGTTTCCTGGAGGCCATGAGCAAGGGCTACATACCCACACTGCTTTTGCTGGGGTCCAGGAACTCTAGTGAGAAAGTCTTCCCAAAGCCAGGGACGCGCACATCCACACCATCTGGGAACTGGGTGGCCCGGGATGTACTGTTGTAGACCAGCCTGTCAGGGGAGGACATTGAGCTAGTGATCCAGAGGTGACACTGAACCTGGTGTGTCCTAATACTGCCCTGGATCCTCAGCCATATCCCTTACTATCCTCATATTTGGTAGGAAGTATAGGGGAAACCAAAAAGTAACAAAGCAAGTTTATGAAGCACAGATCAGAGGAACCACATCCATCTGAGGACCCCAACCAAGACCCATTCCGAAGATTAATCCAAGGACACTCATCAAAGCGATAGTTCCTTCTCGGTGTCATCCACCTCAGAATGCAGCTCTTGGATTTGGCTAGGAAAGGGAAGCGCAAGGCCTGGCTCTGCCATCCCACATCACACTTGACCCAAAAGGCAGGCAGCCTAACCTTGCATGCACCCACTGCCCCATCTCTGCGGATTTAGCTCCTCCCACCCACCACAAAACATCACAGGGCAAAGGAGAGGGTAAGTGTAGCACACAACAGAGCCAAACAGAGAAAGCCCCACCTCAGGGCCTAAACACCTGTGACTGCTACGTGGATGGACAAACAAGGCCTAGAAGAACGACAGGACAGGGTGGTGGGAGACAGGAGGAAAGCTTTGTGCTAGACCAGGAACTCTGTTCTGACCTCCCTGCTATTAAACAGAAAAGTGTGCCCAAGAAAACACAGGCTAGGGGGGCGCCTGGGTGGCTCAGTGGGTTAAGCCTCTGCCTTCGGCTCGGGTCATGATCCCGGGGTCCTGGGATTGAGCCCCGCATCGGGCTCTCTGCTTGGCGGGGAGCCTGCTTCCCTTCCTCTCTCTCTGCCTGCCTCTCTGCCTACTTGTGATCTCTCTGTCAAATAAATAAATTTAAAAAAAAAAAAAAATCTTTAAAAAAAAAAAAAAGGAAGAAAACACAGGCTAGGGGTGTCTGGGCAGCTCAGTCTTTAAGCAACTGCCTTTGGCTCAGGTCATGATTCCGGGGTCCTGGGATGGAGTCCCGCATCGGGCACCCTGCTCTGCAAGAGGCCTGCTTCTCCCTTTCCCACTCCCCCTGCTTGTGTTCCCTCTCTCACTGTGTCTCCCTCTGTCAAATAAATAAATAAAATCTTAAAAAAAAAAAAGAAAAAGAAAAAGAGAGAAAAGAAAACACAGGCTAGACCTGCAATCCTTGATGGCCCTGAGTTCTAATCCCCTGAGATCAGCCACAGAAAGCTGACAAATTACCAACTTTGACCCAAATAATAGGTCCTTGGAGCCCATTTTCTCTAGGGCAACTTGTCAATGAACCCAGTAGCCACTCAGCAAAGTGGAGAAACTTTCTACAAAGCCAAAGCAGCTCTAAACAGGTCAGATGCCCATGAAGGTTGACAAGCCCCTCTCAGTATCAGCCCGAAACGCCCATTGGCAGTACCAGAGACCACGTCTCTGGTATAAAAATAGATTTGCAGATCAACAGCCTAGAAATAACCTGATCACGTACAGAAGAGGAAAAAGTCAACAAAGCACGTGTCATAAACAAACAACCGGGAAAGGCAAAACACCTGGAGAATGAGCCAGTATGTCCCCAGGAAAAAAATTTAGTTTGTGAAACTCCATTCAGTTCCAACATTTACTGAGCACCAATTGTGTTCCAGGTTCTATGCTTATAAAGATAAACAAGATATAAGTTCTGCCTTCAGGGAGCTTGGTCTTAGCTCAGGGTCACGCAATCTGGGTTTAGATCTTGCTTCTGCCACTTATTAGTTGAGTGACCCGAGGCAACCCTGTAACGCTTTTTGAGTTTCCAGATTTCCTCATCTGAAAACAGTACCTGTCTCAGAGGGTTGCTGTAAGACTAAATGAAAGAAAGTATGTAATATGGACAGTGCCTGTATTGATAAGCAGTAATTCCCAAAACATTATCATCTTATTAGCGGGGAAACATCCTTGGAAGCAAAGTTATGGCACCTGATAAGGATGAAAGGAAACAGGCATGTGGCCTGGAGGAAGGAAAGGTTAAGAGCTCTGGGGAGTGGCAAGGGAAACTTTTCAGAAGGACCAGGCTCGGGTTTTAAAGAGTGAATGGGAAGGAATTTATAAGGCAAAGGGTGTAGAGGTAGATTCCGGGCTCAAAGAACCGTATGTACAAAGACATAGAGACCTGGTATATCCCAGGAGGAACAAGAAGCTGAAGGGCCAGTGGCCAACTCAGAGGCAAGGGAAGGGGTACAGCCATGTTGAGACTATGAATAGGGGCTGGAGCATAGAATCTACATGTAAGGGGGCGCCTGGCCGGCACAGTCGGTGAAGCATGGGACCTGTATCTCGAGACTGTGAGTCAGGTGTAGAGATTTTTTTTGTATGTGTGGATTTTACTTATTTGATAGAGCCAGTGAGCGAGTAAGAGAGAGCAAGGAGAGGGGCAGAGGGAGAGAGAGAAGCAGACTTCCTAAGCAGGGAGCCTGATGTGGGACTCGATCCCAGGACCCTGAGATCATGACCTGAGCCAAAGGCAGACTCTTAACCAACTGAGCCACCCAGGCGCCCAAATAAAATCTTAAAAAAAAAAACCTCAAAAACAGGAATTCACGCACAAGGTGTGAATCACAAGGCATAAACTGGAGAGGTAGGGACAAGAGCTGCAGGAAACGGAAGAAAGTTCTGTCTGGGAGGGTGCAGAGTTGGTGCCAATCAGCCTGAGGAAATGAGAAGGGCAAGAGGTCAGTGACCTCAGGGTCTGCTGAGTGGGGATAAGACAAAAATGGGCTCTAGAGATTTCTCTAGGCTGGGTGGGTGAGCAGCACCTCATCTGTGCCCCAGCCCCCACCTGATATTGTCAATCCAGCAGTCAATGATGACAGGCAGCAGCAGTTCGAGGTTGAGCCAGAGTGTGAAGTAGCTGTCCGTCCTCTTGGAGCAGAGGTAGTGCACAACCGTTGGCTTGTCTAGCTTTGCCTCCAGCTGGTTGCCCAAATCGCCGGGCACTGCAGAGAGAGACAGAGCACGCATGAGGCCCTGGACCTGGCAGGCTGGGGACCCCTGAGGCTTGAACCCAAAGGCCTTCTACCCACAGCTGTTCCAGGCTACAGAGGAGGGCCTTGTTCACTCAAAGAAGGAGAAGGAAAGAAAACAAAACCCTGGGCCACTTAACCAACCAAAACTGAATCCAGGGAAGGCATTCCAGGACAAGCTTGTGGAGGGGGGCAATGAACACAGGCAGCTGCCAGCCTACTGGGAGCCCAGTAAGGTTTCAGGGAGCAGACCATCTGGAGGGCCCTAGCCTCTCAGCACACCTGGACCCCGTGGCAGAGATGGCTACCCTGAAACATCACACCATTCCAGCCATGGCTTGGTAGGGGTGGGTGTGCCCCGGCCCAAGGATAATTTCTCTCTGCCCAAGCTGGTCAACAGACCAGCTGCACAGAGCCTAGTCTACACAGAGCCCTGGGGCCCTCGTGACACTCAAACCCATCCCCGCAGCTTCACTGCCCAATATTAAGGCCCTACTCAGAATATTTGTTCCCACTGACCTTTCAGGCCTCACCTATTTCTACATGCCATGCCCTTGACACCTTCCAAGCACATCCTCATTTAGAATCCATGATCACCAAGTGAACAACCAGCTCTTGGCTCTCCTGAGCATTCTCTGGGCTCTACGAACCTAGCCCTGAAGAGGGCATGACTTCCCTATCCATCATCTCACAGTGTCCTCAGCGAAACCATGGGAGGCAGGGGAGGCACCTGCCTTCACCTCCCTTAATAATACAGATGCAGAAGTGGGGAGTCTTCAGCATGACAGTGCAGAGATCTTGGTCATTGTCTCCATCAAAAAGGAATTGGCTAAAAGAGGAAGCCACCCGATTTGCCTGTGCCTGAATGCCCCTTGTCCTAGACAGGCTGTGTGGCCTCTAAAAATAGCAGTGGTCATTTCTTAAGCCCCTTTTTGCTTAAAACTAGGACAAGAGATATCTATGTACCCTTCACCTCAAATAATACTGGGAGAGAATGTCCTTACTATGCCCACTTTACAGATGAGGAGACTGAGGCTGAGGGGGTTAGAAATGGCTTGTTAAAGTCTCCTCCTGCCCAGTTCTTTTGTACCACTTCTCTGGTCTCTGCTTCCTCTACCACCAATTTAGGTCTCACCTGGATAGTCACCCCTGGATGCTGATCCTCTGATAGCCAAGGTCAGGTCCCTGCTCTATGCACAGGAACAGCTCTTCTGCTGCCCATGGGGTTTCCCAGGATTTATGCCAACACCTTCACTCTCTGAGAAGCTAGGCAGATTAGGATTCTGTGACTCTGGGGGCATCTGGGTGGCACAGTCATTAAGCTCTGCTTTCCGCTCAGGTCATGATCCCAGGGTCCTGGAATCAAGCCCCACATCCGGCTATCTGCGCGGCAGGGAGCCTACTTCCTCCTCTCTCTCTGCCTGCCTCTCTGCCTACTTGTGATCTCTGTCTGTCAAATAAATAAATAAAATCTTAAAAAAAGAAGAAAAAGAAAAGAGTATGGGGGTCATGCTGCAGCAGATTAGGTATTTAACATATACCTTAGAATGTCTCTGCCTTTAGGAGTCCTGGCTGGCCACCAACTCAATACTTGAATGAAGCATCCAAGGCCCCCAAGACAGAAGTCTTATCCATGTCCACCACCACAAGGAAACACTGTGGCTCCTGCGTAGTTGCAGGGCCCAGGACCAAGGAAGGAATAGGCAGGGGAGATCATCTAATCCCAATATAGCCCACTCTAAACTGGTCTGGCAGGATTAAGAGTACAAGCATGTTTCCTCACATCTGTTCACAGCCATTTTCGCAACCCTTATTTCTGTCTTTAGCCATCCTCAGATTCCCTTAGGCCTCCCTCAGGCCCAAGGCCACCCATTTCATAAGTTTGGGGGTGGGGGAGGAGTCTTGGTGGCAGGCTAGGAGAGTCATTCTTTCCCCAAAAAGGTTCCTTTTAATAATGCCTCCTGAAACATATGGGGTTGGGGGGTCCAGAAAGACAGCCTCCTAGCCATGCCCAGACCAACAATGAGGACCCTGGGACCAAGAGAACACCCAAGCTCCCACCAAGGCTCACGAGTGGGGCCAAAGGACCTCGGTCTCTCCAGCTAAAAAAATAGGCATAAAGCAAGCCAACGCTTGGGACTGATGTAGCAGGAGTACTGAAGGACAATTGTACCGTAGCCTTCTCACTTATACCATATTCTACAGGGGAAGGTGAGCAGAGGTTGACCACACCCGCGCCCAGCATGGCGGGAGGTGGAGGAACAGATCCAGGTGACAAGACAGTCGTATGCTTCCCGACCTCGTGCTAGGAGCAGATGCAGACCGAGAAGATAGCTCCTCTCCCAGCCCCCGCACCCCGTCCTGCAAAACACACAAACACACGGACCCACGACTGGACCCAAGCCTCACCCAGCACCACCGGAGGGGGACGTCCGACCGGGAGCGCCGGGTCTGCCAGGAGCAGGAGGAACAGAAAGCTACCCGGGAGCAGCGTCGCACGGTAGAAGCAGACGCGAAGACCCATTACGTGAGACAGCCGCTACAGGTCCGAGGTGCGGATTCAGCGCTCGGTGCTCGCGCCTAGGCCCGGGCGGCGGCGACGCGCTTAACCCCGCCGCCCGCACTCGGCCCCAGGGGCCCGACCAATCAGAATCCGCCTCCCCCAAAAGACCTGCCAATAGGGACTCGCCGCTAGGCACGTCCCTCCCAGTCGGAGCTCGCCGCCCCGCCCCTGCGGATCCCAAGCCAGCTCCTTAGACTGCGCCGCACGCCGAGCGCATCGATCGACTGTGGTTCAGCCTGGCTTCTCCGTTCAGTCCGGCACCAGTGGGACCCAGCTCGCCGCTGCTGGATACCCAACCCATCCTTGGGTACTCAAAGTCCACGCTGCGCGCCCTCATTCCCGATTCCTGGCTCGTCCCTGACCTGGGATCTGGAACGGGTTGGCCAGAGCGTGGGTTCAGGGTCCAGTGCTCTCGGCTGCTGAGACACTCTGGTCAGAGCAAGGGGAAGAAGGGGAGAAGTGAGTCCCGGAAAGTTATTGGGCCTTAGGGGACCGGGAGTTGACCAGGACCTTTGTGCAGTCCCCACAGCAATTCTTCACACCCTGCCATGATGGCACGTGGGTTCAAGCAAGGGGTCCAGGGGCCCCCCTGCGTCTGTCCAGGGATTAAGAATGTGGGTGGGAGGGACAGATAAAGGCCGAGTCAATGTGTGAGGGCTGCCTGGCGTAAAGTTTTAGTTGCGGGCATTATGGAGTCACCCTTCGAGACTGAGCAGTTCTGGTGCCCCGGAGAAAGTAGGTTTGAGCCTCAGCCCTGTGGCCATGGCCCATTTGGCAGATTCCCTAGCAGAGCAGGACAAGTGTTCTGACCTTGTAGTCCACCTACCATTCTCAGTCCACGCAAACTGAGGATCCAGAGAGGACACAGATTCCCTGCTCAAGGAATCAGAGGCAAACAAAATGGGCAGATTTGACAGCTGGCAATATGACCAGCACCATGGGTCACTCCAGGATAAGGAGACCAGTATGTTTGGAGACTGAAAGTCTTGATCCTCCACATACTTCCTCCTGAGGGCCAGACAGCACCCTGATCATCCTGTAGCTGGTCTTAAGACTTCTGGCATGACCCTTCCTTCCTTCCTTCCTCTTGGCCAATCGCTGACCCTTTCTAGCCTTTCAGAGTAAGCCTGAATGAACTCACCATCTTGACCCACCCCTCCTGTGTTCTTACAGGGAAACACATTGATGGTTGGGGTACACTACTCTCTGAAGGTCCAACTATCTCTCTTAGGCGCCAGCAAGGACCCCAAACCCCTGCCTCCCTCACCTCCATCCTAGGCCCCAGAAGAGGGGTTGCTGAAGACCAATCTAGTACAGGTCCACAGTGGGAGATCAGAGATCCTTTCGCCAGTACTAGGGACAGGCAGGAGTCCACATTAAAGGGTTAAGTGGACGGGGGCTAGGCATCAGGATGGCCTGGGCTGCCCTGGACTGTGGCCAGTCTGAATGTCTTGTCAACCTAGCAGCCTCAGGTGACCATGGGCCCTTCACAGGGTGTCCCAGTCCCGTAGGCCCAGCAGATGATAGGAACCATGGGCATTGCAGGGAGAGGATGTCAAGGCCTAGTCAGCAATGATCTGTGCCAACGCAGTGGAGAGGAGAGGGAATCAGAAGATAAGGATCTCCCCCTTCTCATAATGACTTTGCCATCCACATGATCCCTCCCTGGCTGCAGACCTGGGCACATCCTGGATTCTAGATACTATTCTAATTCTCAAACCCACAACCAGGTTGAGAGTTCCTCCAAGTCTTGCCTGTCTACCTTTCCAAAGCCAAACTACTTTCATCCCCACAGTAGCCTCCCTGCTCATGTCCCAGTTTATGCCCTTACTCCTATGGACTGTTCTCCATGGGTCAGGCTGACACCATTAAACATTAAATGAAGCCCCTCACTGTCCGCCTAACCCCACTCACGATGCTCCTACTGCAAGCATCATACCCATCTCACTCACAGTGAATGAGGACCCTGTAGGGGATTCTGGCCTTTTCCCACAACTTTCACTTCCTCTCTTCCTCAGTTGCTCATCTCCACCTTCAACAGCTTCCTTGCTCCCTAAAACAGGACAACCTCATTCTCACTCTGGACCTGTGCACTTGTTGCATGGGATCACTCTGCAGCCCCCATTTTTGGGGATTCAGCTGCGTTCTGCCTTTAGGCCTCAGCCCAGATACCATTGACTCTGAAGCAGCCCCTACCTGACTCCCAGCGGAATGTAATCCATGCAAGAGGAAGCCCTTCACCTGCCTGCTACTGGTGCACCTGCCTTTTGGGTTACTAAGTACCATTGGCACAGTCCCAGGCACACAGCAGGTGCTGAACATATATTGAATGACTGAGTGATATGCCCCCTTCTCTAACATTCCCTCCCTTCCAGGATGCGGTCCTGGTTGGTGCCTGTCAGACCTGAAGAAGGAGATCAGGGACTGAGAGGTCCACAGGCTGGTTGGGCTACCTTCCTCAGATGAGAATCCAGCCAACAGCTTTTGCCCTTTTTCTGTGACACTGGGCCCTTTGCATTCCCTCTTGCTCGCACAAGTTCCGAGCTCCCCTGTCTGGACCAGGTGGGTGCCTGGGCTTAGGGCAACGCAATCAAGACCACAGCTTCTGAGCTGGTTTGGTAGCCAGAGCTGAGCCCATCTGGAGGCCAACTGATTCACCCTAAAGCCCCGGTTCATCAGGATCCTATTCCTCTGATGCCAGAGCCTCCCTGGAATCACGAAAGGCGAAACAATGACCAAATCGTGACCGAACAGGTTATCTCTTATTTTTTTTTAATTTAATTTATTTATTTGATAGCGCTCAAGCACAAGTAGGCACAGTGGAGGTAGACTGAGAGGGAGAAGCAGCCTCCTGCTGAGCAGGGTGGCCACTGTGGGGCTCAATCCCACGATCCCCCAGATCGACCCTGGGATCTCAACCTGAGCCAAACGCAGACACTCAATCAACTGAGCCACCCAGGTGCCCCCAGAACAGGTTATCTAACCTGGCTTAGGCATCAAAGAATGTTACATGGAGTAGGAATTATTCGAGATGGGTCTTGAAGAGTAAGTAGGAATTCGCCAGGAAAACAAAGGGATGAGTAGGTGGGTGGGGCCTCCAGGTAGGGAGCTTAGTATGTGCAGCAGCCTGGAGACCTGAACAATCACAGTGTGTCCGGGGCACATGGTGGGTGGGAGTGGAACAGAGAGGCTGGAGGTCTTGAAAACCAAGCTTAAAAACTTGGCCTATGGGGGCCCCTGGGTGGCCGGTCGTTGAGTGTCTGCCTTCCGCTCAGGTCCCGGTCCCAGTATCCTGGGATCAAGCTGGCATCATCTGGCTCCCTGCTCAGGGGGAAGCCTGCTTCTCCCTTTCCCACTACCCCTGTTTGTGTCCCCTGCCTCTCTCTGTCAAACAAATAAATAAATCTTAAAAAAGAAAAAAAAAAAACCAACTTGGCCTGTGCCCAGGAAGCCAGGAGCGGTAAAGATGCTCTAACCAGAGAGAGGCGGTCTCAAGGCCCTTCCCTTTTCACTTCTGTCCTGGAGCATTGCCCCAGGTTGGGCTCTCCCGTGCAAGTTCCTCCTGCCAGCCCCCAGCCCCTGGTTCAGGCGACAGGGTCAGTGCGCCCTCTGGTGGGTACTCAGCGGAGATTCGGCAAAGGCGCTTAGCGGGAAACCTGGGTGGAGCCCAGAGCGCTGGCTTCGCGGGAGGCTCAGGAGATAAGGAAGGGTAGCTAGCGGCAGAAGGCCGCGTTGTGTGCCACGGGGCCACAGACGGTGTGGATGGCCCAGAGCCGGCAAGTGTGGATCTCCGCAGTGGATCCAACAAGGCATCCAGCGGAGAATCCTCTTCCACAGTGGGATATTCTCTGGCCTGGGAGGGAGAGAGGAGGGCGCTTTTACACCACTCCTAGACGCCCGGTAGATCATGACCCGCCACACTCCCAGGCTCTCATGAGGATTCCCAACCTACATCTGCCCCAACCTTCATGTACCCGCCGCTGGAGCGCCAGATTTGGCGAGTGTGTGGCCTGGCTCACAGGACCAAGTTCCTTTCCCCGTTAGTACCTGAATTACACTTGGGGAAACGCTACGAGCTGGACCTTTGGAGCCTTGTTCACCCCTTTCACATATGTTATTTCCAATTCATTCATTAACGATTTATGAACCCTAGTAGCTGGGTTAGGAAGGGGGACACTGCTCAATGAAATCAAGAAATCTCAAACTACCGTGGCGACCCCTACTACAGGGGGAGATGCCTTGAGAGAAAATGCAGGACAAGGGATGGGTTGGGAGATGAGTAAAGAGCCTAGATGAGACTCCTAGAGGAAAAAGACCCGTAGCCCCAGGGAAGGGTACTGAAATACCCAAAGGCTCATGATGCAAAGCAAAGCACTTTGACAACCAATCATTCATTCATTCATTGTCTTGAGCAAGTACTACACGCCAGGCGGTGTGGTAAGCACTGGGGATGAGCCTGTCCTCCAGGGCCTGAGTCCCCAGTGGGTGTGGTGTAGGGAGACAATAAAGGGTTTACTGTGTTAGAAGTTACTTGAGTGTTGGGGGAAAGGAGTGAGGGTTGTTTAGTATTAATACGTGTGATCTGGGAGGATCCATCTGAAGAGTAAAGAAGCTCAGCAAAGCAGGGGCCCTATCGTTATTTTAAAGAATTTATTTTTTCAAGAAGAGTCCAATCATCGGGAACTGTCATGCGGTTGGAGGCGGGCGGAGTTGCCCCACGCTGCCAGGATGGCTAGGGGTGCCACACTGGAGAGGTCACCTCAAAAAGTTGGCTTCCCTGAACATCTGACCTCGAGACCAACGCTGAAGGAAGAACAGGGAAGGGCCTAGTGTGAAGGTCTAGAGGTTCAATGGATGAGGGCTCCCGGAAGGCTGAGACCGAGATCGAGTTAGCGCTCAGATGGCAAGGTGGTGACGCCGTACTGTCTTGTAGAAGCTGGAGCCCAGACAGGAGCCCTACAAAGAGGGACGCCGCCAAAGGAGTTTCAGGAGAGGTCCTGAGGGTGAACACGGGTTTGAGGCAAAGGCTTGGATGGAGGAAAGCCTAACTCCGCCAAGCGCACGCGCGCTCCAGGGCGGATAGGGGAGGAGCCTTACTTCGCTGTTGGGCCCCGCCCCCAAACAAATATTTGACATTCCAGGCTTATCTAGAGGCTAACTGGATCCGAAGAGCGACGTTTCCCCCTCCCGCAGGGCCTGATTGGCCTAGCGCTTCTGTCGTCGGAACCAGCCGGCAAGCGCCGGAGTGGGCTGTCCGGAAACGGGCGGATACCCGCCTATACCAGAGGAAGCGCTCGTCACCCGAAGCCGCTGGAAAACCTGTTTCCCACTCCCGGCGCAAGCCACTTCCGTACTGGGCACATCGGTCTCTTTATCCGTTAAGTAGGGATGCGCGGAAGTGTGGGTTTAATGGGCAAGGCCTCGGAAGCGCCTGTCCATCCCGGGCTCTTTCTCCATAGTCCGAACGTCCGGATGCTGCGCCCAGCTTTTCCGAAAGCGCGAGGTGCGGCTCCAGCCTCAGTTTCCGCGCGGCCTTGGCGCAAGCCCACGTCCTTTCCTCCCGCCATACTCTTCAGTTTCTCAATCATGCAAACGGGGAGCACTTAGCGAAGTCCAGGGCGGCCTGGAAATGCGCAGTAGAGGAGCCCCACCAAGCACGACGGGGCGAAAGGGTGTTGGGGGTCCTCCACGCGGGACTGCCCTTACTGGGTTGCTGGTCTCCGATGGAGAAAAGATGGAGAATCTGCAGCCCGCACGCGCACAGTACACCTTCTCCACTTAGCCCCCACCCGCCGGCGCGCTCACATCTCCAGAGGTCAGGAGGGGAGGGCGACGAAAACAGGCGGCAGTCTCCACGTGGGGTAACCCCGAACATTAGGCTCACCCCCGTCTGGAGAGGCGCTCTCTGGAGTCGGAGCGGGCGCGCTTCCTGCTTCCCCAGCACCGAGGCCTGCGCACCACCTAGTGTTCGGCACCGCGGGCTAAGGGCAGGTCTTCCCACGTGTGGGACGAGCCCTGTCCCGTGACCTCTACTCCCCCGTTCCCATGGCTCCAAGAACCTCGGCTGATCCCCGACCCTCCCCCTAATCCACTTAGCCTCTGGTGACCACCCCCGCACAGGCCTCTGGGTGATATCCCGTAATTCACCTCCCTCTTAGGTGACTTCTGTCACCCCCCGACCGGCCGTCATGACCCCCCCACCCCCCACAGCCCCTATACTGCCTCCTGGTGATTTTCACAAATCCCATGTGACCCCTACGGACCGCAGAAGGCCCCTGTTTTTGCACTGTTCTTGGCGCAGGCCTCATGGTGGGGAGGGACAGAGAGTAGAACGAGACCCACTCAGGCGAAGAAGCCCTTTGACGGAATGGGAGGCCGGGCCGTGAGCGCCATACCCAGGCCCGGCGTCTGAGCGCGCGCGCGCTGGGATAGGTTCTAGCCGCCTTCCCCCTCTGTTCCCCAGGCTGCCCTCGGTCACGTGGCCCGCGGGGCAGACAGGTAACTCGCCCGGAGAGGGCGGGGGCCAGTAGCCGCCCCGCCCCACGGGGCGCCGCGGGCGGGTCTCAGCAGCGCCCACTGCGCCAGCCGGGCCGCAGGTGCCGCCCCGACACAAGGTGTCCCGCCCAAGCTGATTCGTGTCTGCCGTCGGCCGGTGCGTGCGGGCGCCTCGTCGGTCCGCGTGTGTCTGGCCGAGCGCCCCCTTCCTCTGCGGCCATGACTCCCCCGCCTCCCCAGCCACCGCCCCCGGGCCCGAACCCCACCTCAGACTCTGCCGCCGACCCCTGCCCCGGGCCCGGACCCCTGGTCGTACTGTTCGGAGCCACGGCCGGTGCGCTGGGGCCGGACCTGGGTTCCGATGAGACCGACTTGATCCTCTTAGTCTGGCAAGTGGTGGAGCCGCGGAGCCGTCAGGTACGGTTAGAAGGGGTTGGTGGGGTCCCCAGGATCCGAGGGGAACAGTGGCTGATAGGTTCCCCCCGCCGCTCGTAGGTGGGGACGTTGCACAAGTCATTGGTTCGCGCCGAGGCGGCCGCACTGAGCCCGCAGTGCCGCGAGGCGAGCGGCCTGAGCGCCGACAGCTTGGCGCGGGCCGAGCCGCTGGACAAGGTGCTGCAGCAGGTGAGTGCTGGGGCCCGGGTGAGTGGAGTCATGGCGGGGCCGCGGGGACTTTTCTCAGCGGGAGAGGCGGCAGGAGGCAAGGCCTGGCGTGCTGCGACCAACTGGCCTGGGCGGTAGGACGAGTTCCTGTTGTTTAAAAGTTTCAGAGATTCCCGCGTGTGCCGGCCGTTCCTGGGGGCGCCTTCCTTTTCAGGCTTTCCAGGGATTCACTCCTCCTGCGGTGGGCTGGAAACTTCGAGACCCCTCCCAGGGCCGGCAGGGCTGTGGGGTGAGACGCTTCTGGGAACCTGCCTGGCCAGGTCTCCGAGAACGGCAGTCGGAAGGCAAAAGGGCCGAGGGGCCTGGTGTCGGCCATAGGTCACGGTCCCCGCCGCCGGCGACGTCGGCCCACCCACCCGCCTAGTAGAGGCTGGAGCGGGGGCGTAGGGCGGGGTCTGCCTCCGAGGCAGACGCCGCCAGGTGTAAGCTGCTCGTCTAGGCCTGTCCCGGCCGGCTGGCCAGGCGTGGGCGCTGTCCGGACCCCGCCTGAAGGCTACCTGTCTCCTGAGTGCAAAGGCGCAGGGTGCCTCCCAGTCCTGGCTGAAGTGGGAGGCGGCTCCCGTTGCTGTTTTCTTTTTCTTATCTCCCGTGTTGCACTCACCCTGAGCCTGATTCTTGAGTGTAATGAGTTTAAGTGCTTTACACGCACAAATTCTTTAATTTTCCAACAACGCCCGTGATTCTTGATGAGGTACAAACATGTTGAACCTGATCCTGTTCCAGAAGGGCTCCCAGGCTAGACCCTACTTGGGGAGCCGCTGAAGGCGAACTGGGTTGGCTTGCTCTGGGCCTGTGCCTAGTACTTCTACTGTTCTCTAGCAGGGAGGAAGGCTGGGGGGCCGGGAGGTGGGGGGGGGGCGGCTGGGCAGCTTGAGAAGTGCCACCCCCTCTGTGAGCAAACAACTCCGTGCCAGCTGGTCGATAGTGTGGGTCAAAGCTCATGCTGCCCAGGGCGTCCAGGTGTGGAGCTCTGTCCTTGGATTTTCTCTGGCCCTGGGTTGGTCAGACCTAGAGGCGGGGCTGCCATTGACCAAGAGCCAGCTAGGCCTCAGGCAGGAGGAGGATTGGGCCTCCCCCACCTGTCTGAGGGTGGTGCCTGGTCAGGGACAGGTTTAACCTGCTTTGCCCCGCCCCTTCCCACCTGTTTGTCCCACTCCACCAGGTGTTTGCTCTGGCCCTACTCCAGACTCTCAGGAGTGTGTGTGATGGGGGCTTGGGTGATACGTGTCTGCCCCCATTTGGCTTGGAGAAGGTGACAGTGGACTGGGGGAGAAGAGGGACACAGAACCAGGCCTCACACCTGTGGCCAACTCCTCCCCAGGCAGGGTAGGGCTGAACATCTAGCTGAACCTGCTTTGCAGCCTGTGCCTTCCCTCCTGCCCGCCTAGCTATGAGCATGTGTCTGTCTCTCTCCCCACTCCCTCTCCCCAGTTCTCACAGCTGGTGAGCGGGGATGTGGCTCTGCTAGGTGGGGGCCCCTACATGCTATGCACTGATGGGCAGCAGTTGCTGAGACAGGTCCTGCACCCCGAGGCCTCCAGGAAGGTATGCCACTGAGGGCACAGCAGGGGTAGGGTTCCCAGGACCCCTGTCATGGGGGTGGGCAGGGCCACTCAGTTCCCCCCACTCATGCCCCCTCCCATGTGCCTCCAGAACCTGGTGCTCCCCGACACCTTCTTCTCCTTCTACGACCTCCGCAGAGAGTTCCATGTGCAGCACCCAAGCGCCTGTCCTGCCAGGGAGCTCACCGTGGCCACCATGGCACAGGGTACCTGCGACCCGGAAGGGTTAGGTCGGGGGGAAGCTGTGTTTGAGTATGTGCATCCTGAAGGGTTACACACACGAGTTTACATTATCTGTCAAGTCCTTGACCAGACATGCCTCCGTGTGGGTGCTGGGGTGCATCTGAAATAGGGACATATGTCTGCATATGTCTGGGATGGGGACTTGTAAGGGCGCATATGAGCTGGATCAGAACAAACGTTTGCCCCTCTGTTGGGATTTCCTTATTGTTATTTCTCTGCTCATAGACTTGGGGCTGGAGACTGATGCCACAGAGGATGACTTTGGGGTCTGGGAAGTGAAGACAATGGTAGCTGTCATCCTCCACCTGCTCGAAGAGCCCAGTGGTAAGGTTTCCCTCACCACCTGTCACCTGCTCTCAGGACGAGGCGGATGTCTGCGTCTTCCTCAAAGTCCCCATCCCCACTTGTTAGCTTCTTTGAGAGACCATAGGTGGAAAGCTCCTTTGTCACCTGCTTATCCCCCTCAACTGTCCTCTTTTTGCAGAGCTTGGTGGGGAGACCCCCCCTCCACCAGACCCTGCTGACCCCCATGCCATCTCCTCTCAGGTCAATTGTTTTCGAAGGCAGAGGTGGTAAAGCAGAAATATGAGACAGGCCCTTGGTGAGTGTGAGGGCGGGGCTGGGGTGGGGTTGCCAAGAGCTGTGCGGCTCTGACTCGGCCCTGCCCCCGCAGCAGCAAGGCCGATGTGGTGGACAGTGAGACCGTGGTTCGGGCCCGTGGGTTGCCCTGGCAGTCGTCAGACCAGGATGTGGCTCGGTTCTTCAAAGGACTCAACATTGCCAGGTGGGTCTGGCAGGGTGGGCGGGCTCAGGAGGGCGGGCCTGCCCCTGAGGCACTAACGTGGCACTGCACTGGCTCTGCAGGGGTGGTGTCGCACTCTGCCTCAACGCCCAGGGCCGCAGAAATGGCGAGGCCCTCATCCGCTTTGTGGACAGCGAGCAGCGGGACCTGGCGCTGCAGAGACACAAGCACCACATGGGCGTCCGCTATATCGAGGTGGGGCTTTGGGCTGGGAGTAAAGCAGGGCAGAGCTGAGGCCCACCAGGCTGCAGACCCACGGGCTGTCCCCACCGTCCCCACAGGTATACAAAGCAACAGGAGAGGAGTTCATGAAGATTGCGGGGGGTGAGTATTCTCCCAGCAGCACCTCGCTCTGCTGGTTCTGCGTCCGTGTCCCACTTGCCCACCACTGTCCCCCTCCCCACCTTCCTGCCCCCTTCCCAGCATGCCACGTGAAGGTGGGTATCTGGAAGGGCACAGATGAAGCCAGTGGGTGATTCCCCTGCCTCTCACCAAGGCACATCACTAGAGGTGGCTCGTTTCCTGTCACGGGAAGACCAGGTGATACTGCGGCTGCGGGGACTGCCCTTCTCGGCTGGGCCGGAGGACGTGCTGGGCTTTCTGGGGCCCGAGTGCCCGGTGACTGGGGGTGCTGACGGGCTGCTGTTTGTGCGCCACCCTGACGGCCGGCCCACCGGTGATGCCTTTGCCCTCTTCGCCTGTGAGGAGCTGGCGCAGGCTGCACTGCGCAGGCACAAGGGCATACTGGGTAAGCGATACATCGAACTCTTCCGGAGCACGGCGGCTGAGGTGCAGCAGGTGAGCGCCCAGGGCTCCCTCTCCTCCTGTGTGCGTCTCCTCCAGGGCCCCTCTGTCCCACCTGGCTTGACGGGCCCGTGGCTGCCTTCCTTGCCAGGTCCTGAACCGCTATGCATCCAGCCCACTCCTTCCCACACTCACCGCTCCCCTGCTCCCCATCCCCTTCCCACTGGCAGCGGGGACTGGGAGAGATTGTGTACGCCTTCGAGGCCTGCCCTATACAGCTACCATCGAAGACATCCTGAGCTTTCTGGGGGAGGCAGCTGCTGACATCCGGCCCCACGGGGTGCACATGGTGCTCAACCAGCAGGTGAGGCTTCTGCCAGCAGGGCGACCGACACGGTCAGAGAGGGCTGTGTGGTTGGGAGCGAGGCACTCTTGCTGGGACAGGTTGTTTATGAGATGACCCTGTGCACAGGGTCGGCCCTCAGGCGACGCTTTCATCCAGATGACATCAGCAGAGCGGGCCCTGGCTGCTGCCCAGCGTTGCCATAAGAAAGTGATGAAGGAACGCTATGTGGAAGTGGTCCCCTGCTCCACGGAGGAGATGAGCCGTGTGTTAATGGGGGGCACCTTGAGCCGCAGTGGCATGTCCCCTCCACCCTGCAAGCTGCCCTGTGAGTGTTGCAGGGGCTGGGAAAGGAGGCATGTGGGGGCCAAGCTGTTGTAAGCCTCACTTTCTGCAGTGGGGACTCTGTTCTGGCTGCCTCACCCAGGGCAGTGCTGGGCGCCCTGCAGATGCACTCTCTGCTTCTGCCTCCAGGCCTCTCACCACCTACCTACGCCACCTTCCAGGCCACCCCAACACTCATCCCTGCTGAGACGGCAGCCTTGTACCCCTCTTCAGCACTGCTCCCGGCTGCCAGGGTGCCTGCTGCCCCTACCCCTGTTGCCTACTACCCAGGGCCAGCCACTCAACTCTACATGAACTACACAGCTTACTACCCCAGGTACCAGCTGCTGAGAAAATTCCACAGTCTTGCCCCCATTCTGGTGTGTGGGAGGGTCATTATCCCCTTCCTGGGCCACATAATCCAAGGTCTGTCAGAGCTGGGACTTCATCTAAGATGGACAAGGAAGTGACAGGTACGGTCTGGAGAATACCGTCTACAAATGAGAATGGAAAAGACTCTGGAGACAGAAGTTTTAGGGAGGAGGAACTGAACTAAACACAGGCAGAGACAAGGGGGGAGGGAGGGAGGCAGGTCTAAGCCATAGATGGGACTGCACTCCTAAATCCTGCCTCTTCTGTCTTAGCCCCCCAGTGTCCCCTACCACTGTGGGCTACCTCGCCACACCCTCTGCTGCCCTGGCCTCTGCTTCCACCTCAGTGTTGTCCCAGCCAGGAGCCCTGATCCGTATGCAGGGTGTCCCGTATACGGCTGGTATGAAGGATCTACTCAGCGTCTTCCAGGCCTATCAGGTGAGGTGTGGCTGGAGGGCTTGGGAACTGGCTGAGCCTAGAGCTGCCTCTCCTAAATCTCTTCTCCTCCGCAGTTAGCCCCTGATGACACCAGTGTGCTGCCTGTTGGTGACCCACCCCGAACTGTGCTACAGGCCCCCAAAGAGTGGGTGTGTTTGTAGGTGAGGGAGCCAGGAGGTAAGAGCTGGGTAACGTCTCTCATGTCTCTCTTGGCATCCAGAGAACCAGTACCCTCGACCAGGTGGCTTCTTCCTGGGCTTGTCAAAGCTCTCAGCACCCAGAATGAGCTCATCCAGCTCCATCTCCCACTTGTTGCTCTGCCTGTTCACCCCAAAGATGACGGCTGGACCCTGTATGCAGGGCTGGGGGTGGAAGGGTGTTACCCTGCTCCCAGTGGCCTGATCTGGGCCTCCTGAGTAGCACCACGAGATCCTTCGGTCTGTTTGGCCATGGTCCGTACCCAGATTCTGAGGCTGATGTCCACAGCAGGCATGCTTACTTTTTATAAATGTAAGCCCTGGTGCCTTCAATGTATGATTCCTGGGAGCTTCTGAGTAAAGATCCCAGTATTCTGCTTTCCCTTTCCCTTTTGGTAGGGGGCAGGGAGGCAGAAAATGCTGGCCCCAGCCCCTGGAATGCTTGACCCTTAGTGGCCACATTGTGCCATGGGTCCAAGGACGCTAGCTCTCCTCCAACTTGGCATAAGGACTATCAGGTGGCAAAATCACAGACTTGTTTTGACCGACTGTACTGCAGTATCCCCAGAGGACACTAGGGGGCAGGAGGCCTTCACACAAAAACTCAGGCCTGAATTTTAAAGGGGACTCTGCCTACTTTTCATGCACACCTTGGGCAGGCCAGTTGTCCTGAACTCAGCAGACATCGTGGAATGTCCTTTGCACCCATTAGAGGGTACAGAACTGAAGCTTCGGAAGGAATTTCGAACTCTACTCACTCCTCCGTAAGATAAACAAAGGTTCCTAACCAAGTGGACTTTCTGAAAGCCAAAGTGCCTTTAGTTGCTTTGGACTCCCGAGTGTGGGGCTCCACACCTGCCCCGGGGAGAGGAAAACTCAGATTTCAAGGACAATGTTAACCTGTCCCCGTTTATTATTTCAGCCCTGTAACTGAGGAACCTAAATTGCTGGCTCTTCCCTTTGGTATTTGTGTAAGGAGCAGTATACTCCTATAAAACGTTTTAAAGTACAAAATGTGTAAGAAAACACAATCCCAAGTGCTGTAAACATAACAGAGAACCAATTCCTTAACTGTACGTCGCCCATTTTATAAAATACAAGGTTTCAATTGAACCCTTCTGAGCCTTGAAGGTAACCATCTATTCTGAATATTACAAACAGGGCTTCAAGGCCGGGGGTGCCTGGGTGGCACAAAACTCTCGGTTTTGGCTCAGGTTGTGATCTCGGGGGTCTCCCTCTCCCGCCAAAATAAATAAATCTTTAGGAAAACAGGGCCACCACTCAAGGGCTTTATGGCCAGATCCTAGCAGAGCTCCAGTGGTAGAGCAGAGCTCCAGCTCCAGTTGCTGCCCTGGGCAGCAACACCACACGGGAACCCAAAGACAGGACATCTGGTCCCTTTCGAGGTGTTTTCAGCCATGTTTCTTGTATCTAGCAAGTAGAAGGCTGCTTATCCCCTTCCTCAACCCAAGAGGTAGCACAGGTTGGAAGGGGCAGGGGTAGATGCTAAGACATGCCCAGTTGCTCAGTGTTGCTACTAGAAGTCAGTTTGCACAGTCCAATGACTGTGCCTTAGCACCACTACGTTGCACAGAAGTTTAGTCGTTACCTGCAAAGCCAAAAAATACTGATTCTTAAGCCAAAGACTTAACAAAATAATACAAGACTGCTTACATAGTATACAAAGCTCTTTTAAAATTCAACTTTTATTTTAAATAGGAAAGCATTTCTAGTGCTACAGGCATCAAGGTATTTAAAGGCATCAGAATTTGGTGCATAGCAACTCTGGATCAGAGAGGCTTTTATTCCTGAGGGCAGCAGAGCAACCCCCAGAGGGTCCTGCAAGGGAAACTCTTGCAGTAACCCCATGTGAGACGGCTACCCCAGGGGCAAGAGGGTGGAGGCAAGTCCGGCCAGCTGTCTGGAACTTTCTATCAGGGGCTGCCTCTTAAAACCCCTCCAAAGGAAGCTGGGCTGCCAACTACAGGCCCTGAAGCAAATCACACTATCCACATTGTGACATAAAACTTTTAAAGAAAAATGTGAAAACACCCAGCTCCAGGAGGGACCAGAGTGATTTGTTGAAGGATAGACATTTTTCTCTAACTAGGTTTAGGGGAAAACTAAATCATGGTTTGAAGAGGGAAAAACAAAACAAAACAAAAAAACATACTTCTTTATCCTGCAGGAGGCCAACGGCTCCTACCTGGCTGACTAGAGGAGGTGGGCAATGAGCCGGCTCCCCCTTCGGAGGCCTTACTTGGCCTCAATGGAGAGTCCTGGCATCTAGGACTCCTAATCCCCTGGAGTAAAAACATCAAGCCCTTGACCAGCTCAGCACACTGTCACACATATAGGCACTCAAAAAAAAAAAAAAAAAAAAAAAAAATTCCTTCCTGAAAAAATGAAATCACATGATTTTGTTGGAAAACATACTGCAAACTTCAGGTGCTTTGAAATGGGCCCAGCCTTGGAATAGGTACTAATCCCATTAAAGGGAGGAGGAAGGGCAGGGTTTGGAAAAAGCACCGAACTCGGGCACCTCCTTTGGTAGACAGCAGGCTGGAGGTTCTTGCTGGCCCCTGCCCTGGGCACCAGCCTCACCAGCAGCAGCACCGGGGCGTCTTTGGTGTGGAGGGTCAGGTCTATGATGCTACCTCATGTCTGGGTTTGCATCGAAGCCTTTTGGGGAAAAGGCTGTTTTTTTTAGGCCATGTAGATGGGAGGAGGGTAGGCCAGAATCATTTTAGGCTGTAAACAGAACGAGGGATAAGCATTCCATTCCACTGCGAATCTTAGAAGCTTCCCTTCTGGAGTCCTGCATTTTCTCTGCTCCTCTTCTGACTCATAGCTCATTTATGCTTAGCTTCTGACACAGCCTGGCCTCTGGAGAGGAGTTAGGACCGGCAAATTTGCCTAAACCATCATGAGGCTGTGGCTTCAAAGGTTATAGAGCAGCCAAATGCAGATACTCCCAGTTAGAAAAGGTCTGGGACAGAGGACACAAAAGGGAAAAGCACTCCACAGCCTACTTGTTTGCAGGATGGCAGGATATTAAAGCTAGGAAGCTAAAAAGCCCACCTTTCAAAGTCCCCTTACATGGAGCTATCTTATCCAAGGCCCTGAGGGAAAAAAAGCAATTTCAACATGGCGTCAGTATGGAGAGATTGCAGGAAGATTACCTAGAACGTTACAAAAAGGCTATGCTCTGGAATGTCGTTTTATATTCCAACACGTCAATGATTGGAATGGTCTCTTCTCTAACAGTTTATTTTTATAAAGAGGTACGAGCTACATTTGGCTTTATTTCCTATAAATCTATGAAAGGCTTTAGGACATGCTGAGTTTCTGAGGCATAGGTGTGGGCTTAGGATAATTTTTTTTTTCTTTGCCTCTGGAAGGTTTTATCAAAAGTTCCTACTTTAAAAATATCATCAAAGCTAAAGAGTCCTTCAAATGACCATAAAGGAGTAAAATCACCAATCATAGCTAAGCAACCAGGTCACTTGCAAAAGCAGCAGCTCTGAAATGGAGAGCCTGCTGCATTCACACTCAAAGCACCCATCATATAAAAGTATCCTATTTAAATATAAAAAGCAAAGCTTATTTCCCCAAAGCTCAGTCTATGCTGCTCCTGTTCTTTTACAAAATCTACCCAAGGCCTGAGGTGGAGGAATGCTGCTTTCCCCACATACAGTGACCCCAACTCCCGGTGCCAGTCCTGAAGGCCACAGAGTTGGAAACCCAAGGTCCAAGGAGAGAAACATGCTGAGAAGTACGTGGTGGTGGACACATGGCTGCAGTGAACTCTGTCAGAGGCCATCGGATCTTCCTATATCCAGGGAATCAGGGCCTGGAAGGGGAGCCTGCCTGCTCACCCCTGTTCCTTGGGAAACAGAAATCTGAGACATGTCTCTCCCAATTATCTCGTTCACTGAAAAACAAGAAAAAATGATTAGTGACCTTTGTGTGACTGACCATATGATGCTCAATGGCGAGTTCCATTTCAAAGATATTTTTCCCTTTCCAGTTTTCTGTAAAGGTAAATGCAGTGCTTAAAGCCTGGTCCTAAACTGAATGGAGACCTTATTACAGACCTCTCTTTCCCCTTCCAGTTCAGTTTGGGATGGGAAGGGAGATAGCTCAGAGAACAGGAAACATTCCTACCCTGTATAAGCTTATGCTCTAGAGCAGAAGACAGGATACATCTGAAATGAGTTCATATTAATCTCACTTTTCCTGAATTTGCATGCCTTTACAGGGGGTTTTCCCCTTCTGATTCCTGTACTTTGTTTGTAAAGTGAATGCAAATAAATGTTTTGGTGAGAATGAAGATTTACTAAATAAAGCAGTTACTTTGTTACCTTATGCTAATACAAAGTATTCTTCATTATGTTGGGGACAAACTTTTGGAAAAGACTCTTGATTTTTGGATGGTTTCTATGACAAGTCAAGCACTTCAAGGAACATAGTGCTCTGTGAAGCACAATGTAAAAAACTTCAGTCTTAAGGAGCCAATATAGAAATAATATCCTGGGGGCACCTGGGTGGCTCAGCTGGTTAAGTGTCTTGACTTCAGCTCAGGTTATGATCTCTGGGGTCAGGGAGGAGCCTGCTTCTCCCTCTCCTCCCTGCTTGTGCTCTCTGTCCCTATCTTTGTCTCTCTCTCAAATACTTACATAAAATCTTAAAAAAAAAAAACAAACCAATACTCCAAATTCCCCCAATAAGAACCCTAAGTTCTCTCATCATGAGAATTCTTTGCTTTATCAACCAAAGATTAAACTCCTAGGTGTATACTTAAAAGAACGGAAAACATATATCCATATAAAAACTTGTACTCAAATACAAGTTCACAGAAGCATTTTTCATAATAGCCCCAAAGTGGAAACAACCCAGATGTCTACCAAGTGATGAATGGATAAACAAAATGTGGGCTATCCATACCATGGAACATTATTCAGCCACAAGAAGCCATGAAGTTCTAATACATGCTACAACATGGATGAACCCTGAAAACATGCTAAGTGAAAGAAATCAGACACAAAAGATTATACATTGTTTGATTCCATTTGTATAAAATGGCCA